TATTCAACGAATCTGGTAAAAAAAGTTTTTAATTCAAAATTCTTCAATTATCACCTTGGTGAAAATTATTTTCACTTAGGTAAAAAATTATAGTTTTTAATTCAAAATTACACGAATTATCACCTAATTTTCACTTTGGATGAAAATAATTATCACCTAGGTGAAAATTAAAGTTTTTAATTAAAAATTACAAGAATTATCACTTAATTTTCACCAAGGTGAAAATAATTATCACCTGGGTTAAAATAAAAGTTTTTAATTCAAAAAAATAATTTTCACCAAGTAAAAAAAAAAGGTTTTTAATAGAAAGGGGAAAATGTCGTATATGAGCCACCATAGAAATGAGCAAAATGTGGGTGATGCTATTATGTAACTGTGGGTGTTAGTAATTCTTTTTAGATATTTTACCCACTTTCAGGAATAATGCACATGACCAAGTTTAATTCCTTAACAAAGGCATAAGCCCTATTCAGTTTTGTTTTTCTGACATGTAGAGATTGTCAATGTGGATATTACTTGCTATATTTTAGCTTTTCAGCCACCATGATTAAGAGATTAGAAATAACCTAGACTAGGCTACTTAAAATAATTGTTTTTAACCACTCGAACGTGGATGACAAAATATTTTACGCATTACAATGTCGCGGATGACGAGATATCTCGCAAAAGCACCTTGTGTTACTCCAAAACATTTATATGCCTAAAAGAATTTGCGGATGTAAGAGGGTTGTCCATCATAGTGTCCAGTAACAAACGAAAATTGAATTTGGATGAAAATGAGATAAGGAATATGTTTGTAGACTCTGGATCGTCGTAAAAAGAAGAGTGTGACTCAAATGACTCATCGCGACGTTACATCCAATCAAAGGTGATCAAGAATAAGAAAAAAATATAGTTGGTAGTACAAATTTTTTCATTGTTTGCGACTTTAATGAAGAAATTTAAAGTGCCGTGCCTTACAATCCGATTGAATGGAAATGGGAGAAAGTCGATTATAAGCCTGTATGGTTGTGAGCTAGATAACCTGAATGAAGACAGCTCTGCTCTGGACCCCTAAACCCCCCGTGATCTGTGCCTTGCAATGGCCCTGATCTCTTCACTTAGCTGATTCAACAGAAAACAAACATGCATGTGGGTGGAACTGATGGTTTAAGCCGTAAAAACATACTAAGAAACTAAAAACTATTTAGCTCATACTGAGAAAAACATCCATCATTTCCCAAACTAGGGCAGGTATTTGAATTCTGTTATTTTTTTACATATTAAGTAATGTTGAGAGAGTGAAAATGGATTTTTATGTGCATACATGAAATGTGGATGGTTATTGGTGTCAACCATGTTGGTCCGTCTACAATTGTTCGTGAACATTTTACAAGGCACAATTCTTCACAGATTTTGACGAAATTTGATCAAATTGTTTATTTTAATGGTATCTCCAAATGATGAATCCTTTCGAAAGTCAAAGGTCTTTAAAAATATAGAATCAAAGAATTGAAAAGCGTTCAATTTTTAACTTGATTTTGTAAACACTCAAGAAGGCACAATGCCGGACGGATTCAGACGAAACTTTGTGAAATCATTGATCCTTACCCTAGGATGAACAATATTAAAAAACTGTAAAAATCAGAAAATATTTAATATGAGTTATTATTCTTATTTGATGGTATTTGATGTCAAGTTTTATTATTTCTTCCATTGGTTTGTCAACATTTCTTGTGAGCAGGATAAAGACTTTCGTTTTTATTGGTGTGAACATTTATATTATTGAGATCTTGGACTAGTTTAAATTTGATTTTTTACCTCGTTTGAAGGTTTTTGAGTTATTGCCCTTGACCGAGTCCAAATGTGTGAAAATTTGTTAGTGACTACAGTTTTGATCCGATTTTAATGAAATTTGGTGTGATCATAGAAGCTTCAATTTTAGATTGATGAAATATTGTGTGATGATATAACAGTTTTGAGTTATTGCCCTTGACTTAGTTAAAACTTGTCAAAATTGTTTAGTTTCTACAATAAAAACGAAAGGTTTCAAACAATTTGAATGGAAATTGGTCTGATTATTATGAGATATTGGATAATTGCAAATTTGATTTTTTGGTGAACCATTTTTGAGTTACTGCCCTTGACTTGGTAAAACGCATCAAAATTTGTTTGTTACCATAATAGAAGCTACAATTTTGAAATGATTGCAGCTTGGGGTGATCATTTGAATTGAAGTTCTTGAGTAAGGAAATGATTACTTTTGCAATGCATATTTTCTGAGTTAATGTGCTAATTAAGTTTTATTGCCCTAGATTTGATGATAACTATGAATTCATTATGAACATCTTATTTGGAAAACATTTTCATTATCAAAAATGTTGTAAATTATACCTGAAAATATTTCTAAAATGTGCTAAATTTATCTATGTATCTACTTGATCAAACTGAATGGGTTAGTTAAAAACTGAGAGTACTAATTGTTAGTTTCGATAATTGGCTTTATAATGTCTTGTTATATTCAGTTAAAATTTCAGATACATTATAGGATACATTTCACAAAATGTCCTTTAGATATGAAAAAAGACTCTTTAACATTTTGACAGCTGCAAGAGGGTGTATGTTTGTCTGTCAACAGGCTACCATATCAAAGGTTCAATGATGTCGGACTCCTAATCACTTGAGAAATCCAGATTGATTGCCACTGGCTACTACATCAAAGGTTCAATGATGTCAAACTCTTAAGCAGTTGATAAATCCAGACTTATATGGCAACTGGCTTCTGTATCAAAGGTTCAATGATGTCGGACTCATAAAAACTTAATATATACAGGCTAACAATTGACACCTGCTTTAATTGAATTAAAATGTATATTTTCAGCCGTCGGGTCTGCGGGAACTCAATAGCTGTGTTTACTATTGGGTTTGACATACACCACACACAGTTAGATGATCAACGTAGCACGGTCAGTATACAAAGTTTATAAATTCCACTTTGGTGTCACAAATGTTTATCAGTCTGTGAAAACTTTGACAGAAGGCACGATTCTTGATGGATTTTGACAAAATTTGGTGTGTTTATCTTTCATGGACGGACACTATTGAGATCAAAAATATGAGTTATTGCCCTTGTGTTCAATTGTAGCTTGTTAGTACTTAAGAGAACAGATTTATACCAAATTATCAATACTTGAAAGACAAAGAGGTTCTGAAAAAATGTATGACGAATGATTGAATATTTGACACTGGTGATTGTTACTATTCTTCCAAATATTTTAATTTGGAAATAAAGCTGCTAGTGGGCATATATTACCTTGTCTGGAAAGCTATCTTTGATTAGTTACAATACCTGTTGATTTCCCTTAACTATTGAAATCCATGTATGTCCAGAATGAACTGTATAGAAAAGAAATATATAGAAAAAGAAATTTGAGTTTGAGGTATTTTTGAAGGAATTAGCATACATATCTAGCACTTCCAAAGACTATTCACATATATATTCAAGAATCAAATCAACCCCCAAAAATGGCAAATGTGTCCCATTAAATTACCACAAATAACATTACTGTTGTTTCTCTTCCAGGGTTCCAAGAACAAAGTAGCTGGTCTTTGGCTATAACAGGACATTTAAACTGGGAGGTCAATTAGGTTATGGTGGATCACAAATGTCCCAAAGGCGACTCTTGGAACGAAGCTAGGTAAGGATATTTGAAATATTCCATATGGTATAATATAGCAATATAAGTTTAATTGTTTATACTGTATTTTCAAAGTAAGAAAGGAATGTGAATAGGATTTCCAGCATTTTATAATGTGTATCTGTTTGCACCATTTTAGTTTTCAAGCTAAAAAATGGCTTTCATTTGTGACCAAAGGTAACAAATTTTGAATTGAATTATTTAAAACTTGGAATGTTTAAAGGGATTGTAAATATTTTTCATAGGTATCGGGGACCCTGATAGCATCAAATTGCACAATTCCAATTTTCAATTAGACTTTTGTGGTTCCCTAATACACATAAAAAAAAATTAAAAATACTCTTGACAATCCCTTTTATTGTTGGTAGATCTGCCGTTGGATGAACTGTTTTTGAAATCTCCACACAAAACAATTGACCAAAATTGTAGAATTTTGGTATTCACATGATATTTATAATTTTAGGTGTTAACAGATAGAGCTTCACTACATGGAATTAAAGTGCTTATGGGGTGGCACAGAAGTTCGCAAGGCAAGTGTACTTTAATGCATCATGCTATTCTTATCCCTGACCATTTAGACTCCGTGATCCTTTCACTGGTTAAAAGAAATTTAATCTTTAATGGGTTAACAACTTGGGAACTGTGTAAACTGAAATAAGGTGCTGTGAGCTCAAATCTTCTTTAAGGTTTATATACTTATGATGCCACACCTGCTTCTGCTTCCAAAATTCACACCTGTGTCAACTTTAAAGATCACCTAGATTTCTGAAATGTCATTTGGTACCATTGACCATCAGTACAAGAAGAAATATAAAAGAAAATGAAAGAAGGGATAGAGTGGCCAAGGTCTTTAGAATTCAACCAAACCAAATAAGCTGTTCGACCAGCAAACAAAATTGAATGAATATCTCCATTCAATGAAATTTTTCATACAAGATTGACAATATTTATTTGTGCTTGACTTTAAAGAAAAAATTAAGTATATTTTGTGTCTGATTGTAGGTTAGAAAGGGTAAATCGTCTAGTAATTTACCTTCCCGCAATAGCACTGCCACAATAGGAGTGTTCTGAGGTCATGGCCTGTATGACTCTTCAGACTTCCTATTCACAGATGAAGAGGAACAGATGAAGAGGAACAGATGGAGGCGATTGGGGCGATTCCTCCACCCATTTTTCGTAAGTTTATCATAGATCTTGATGTTTTGAAATTATAGTATCATTATCATGATTATATTATTAGGAGTGTGAATTTTCATATATATCAATTTGCAAAAATTCAGTAGATTCCGTATTCCATGGCTCAATAACCATGCCCAATAAACCAGAAATGAATAGAATATGTCCTCAGATACAAAATTATATGGTATTTTGAGTTTTCGTCTTTTACTTATTTTAGCCGTCGGCGGGAACTCGATAGCGGTCTTTACTATTGGGTTTGACATACACCACTTACAGTTAGATGATCAACGTAGCACGGTTAGTACCTACCTACATATTTAAATTTCATTCACAATTCCTGTTCTGTGAAATTTTGTGAAAACCATCCTGAAAAATTCTTGTTCTTTTTCTGTATCCCTTGAAGGAGCATTAATCTGGATGATTATAGTCATCTGATTGATCTCTTAAAGTCTATTTCAAGAATAAGCCCCCTGCTGTGGAATGAAAATGCACAGCAAAAACTACCATGAGATCTTTCTCTCTGAAATGGGTGCATATTTGATAATTCCATTGGCAGAAGGGTGTTACAAGAGGCATGACTTGCCTGGCTAATGACAGATACCACAGTAAAAAGCTTTAATTCAAAAAATCACTTAGTTTCGGACGCAAGAGCTTAAAACTAATCAATTCAAGAGTGAGCTTTGAAAATTGATTGTCTATGAGCAGAGATATTGGCCAAATGATGTTATTCGCATTGATATACATAATTAAAGAGGTAGTTTTCAAGATTTTCATTACTAGGTTATATCATGTGGTCGTATATTGTCGTCGCCCCTGTCCGTCGGTCCGCACGTCAACATTTCTAGTGAGCACTATAGAGACTATAGTTTTTATCTGATTTTGATAAAACTTGGTGTGATGCTTTAGATTAATAAGATCTCGGTCAAGTTTGAATTTGACATATTTTCGATGAACGGTTTTTGAGATATTGCCTTTGTTTTAGAACGCCTTGAAATTTGTTAAAAATAGTTTGTGAGCAGGATTGAAGCTACAGTTTTCATCAGATTTCTGATGAAACTTGGTGTGATCATCGGAATTGATAAGATCTCAGACAAGTTCTAATTTGACGCATTTTCAATGAACGGTTTTTGAGTTATTGCCCTTGACTTTGTTAAAACGCGTCGAAATTTGTTAAAAATAGTTTGTGAGCAGGATTGACTCTACAGTTTTCAACCTATTCTGATGAAACTTGGTGTGATCATTGGAATTGATAAGATCTCGGACAAGTTCTATCTTGACGCATTTCCGATGAACAGTTTTTAAGTTATTGCCCTTGACTTTGTTAAAACGCGTCAAAATTTGTTAAAAATAGTTCGCGAGCAGGATTGAAGCTACAGTTTTCAACCGATTCTGATGAATTTTGGTGTGATTATTGGAATTGAAAAAATCTCGGACAAGTTCTAACTTGATTCGTTTTCGATAAACGGTTTTTGAGTTATTGTCTTTGACTTTATTAAAACGCGTCAAAATTTGTTCGTGAGCACAATAGAAGCTACAGTTTTCAACCGATTCTGATGAAACTTGGTGTGATCATTGAAATTGATAAGATCTCGGACAGGTTCTAACTTGACGCATTTTCGATGAACGGTTTTTGAGTTACTGCCCTTGACTTGTAAAAACGCGTCAAAATGTGTTCGTGAGCGCTATAGAAGCTACAGTTTTCAACCAATTTTTATACGCCCACATGAAATGAGGGGCGTATATTGCCGTCACCTCTTTCCGTCGGTCCGTCCGTACGTCCACAATTGCTCGTAAACACTCTACAAGGCACAATTTTTGACTGATTTCAACGAAACTTGGTATGGTTGTTGGTAATCACCCAAGGATGAAACCTATTGAAAATCAGACGAATCGAAAAATATTTAGTATGAGTTATTGCCCTTGTTCTTGAAAACGCGTTCATTTTAGCTTGTAAACACTCTAGAAGGTGCAATTCATGGCGGATTTTGATGAAACCTGGTATGAGTGTTCGTTATCGCCCAAGGATAAACCCTATCGAAAATCATAAAATTGAAAAATATTTAGTATGAGTTATTGCCCTTGTTCTTGAAAACGCGTTCAATTTTAGCTTGTGAACACTCTAGAAGTCACAATTCTTGATGGATTTTGACGAAACTTGGCATGAGTGTTGGTTATCACCCATGGATAAATCGTATTGAAAAACAGAAAAATTTAAAAAATATTTAGTATGATATTGAAAACCCGTTCAATTTGTAGCTCATAAAAACTCTAGAAGGCATGATTCTTGACGAAATTTGACAAAACTTTGTTTTATTATTCATTACCGCGCTGAAGATTGAATATTTATCTTCTAAAGTTTTCACGAGCTAAAGATTGAACACGTTTTCAAGAACTAGGGCAATAACTCATACTATATTATTCAGTATCGCCCTAAAGAGTTCAAAAGAAGTGTACGACTGAAGGTTGAATATTTCATACTGGTGATTGTTAAATATTTAAGTTCAAAATCAAAGCTGCCAGTGGGCGTATATTACCTTGCCGGCATGCTATCTTGATCAAACTTATGATCATTGGAGTTGATAAGATCTCGGACAAGTTCTAACTTGAGGCATTTTCGATGAACGATTTCGGAGTTATTGCCCTTGACTTTGTAAAACGCTTCAAAATTTGTTTGTGAGCACAATAGAAGCTACAGTTTCAACTGATTTTGAGGACACTTGGTGTGATCAATGGAATTAATAAGATCTCGGACAATTTCTAACTTGAGATATTTTGATGAACGTTTTTGGAGTTATTGCCCTTGACTTTCTAAATACGCGTCAAAAGTTGTTTTTTCCCTTGATTAGAGCTGTGTGATTTATTGTTTGTTGTATTTGAGTTTTTGATATTGATTTTAAAAAAAATTGTGGAATTTTATTGCTTAAAACTTTCAGATAAGGCAATGGATATATTCCTCTAGTCTTTGGTCTAAAGTATTTATTACTAGTTGCACATAACTACTTTTAAAATGAGAATCTTTACTTTTAGGGTTCCAAGAACAAAGGAGCTAGTCTTTAGCTTCAACAGGACATTACATTTGGAGGTCAATAAGGTTATGGTGGAGCACAAATGTCCTAAAGGCTACTCTTGGAACGAAGCCAGGTGCGGATATTTTAATAATTATCTTGAATATGATGTTGCTATACAAGTCATTATAAACACACTGTAAATATTACATTTAGCAAAATAAGATTATTTTTTGGAAAACCTTACAACACAAAACCAAATTTTTATATGTGTCTACTAGTTCCATATAATCCATCAACTGTTTGGATTTATGTATTTGTTGAATTATTTCATTTGTGCCATATCAAAGAATTAAGTTATATATTTTTAATTTTAGGTGTAAACAGATAGAGCTTCATATACAGAAGTCAAGTGCTTATGGTGTGGCACAGAAGCTCGCAAGGCAAGTTTGTTTTAGAAATATTTAGTCTGTAATTTTAAACCATTTTGTTCTTCTTAATTTGAAACATCTTGGAACACTTTGCTTATCTGATACAATTTTGTGAATCATGATATTTTCAAAAATAAACAAATACGTGGTATTTATATGAGTTAACAGCAAATCAAGACCCTACAGAATGATGACGCCAAATTGTGGTCTCTAATTTAAGGGTATTTCATGGCCTCTCACACATTGTTTTTGTTTTTAAAAAATTACTTAAAATGGTAGTCATTTAATTATTTGCGATTATGTATTTATATTTTTCAGGTTGGAAATGGTAAATCGTCTGGTAATTTACCTACCCGCAATAGCACTGCCACAATAGGAGTGATCTGAGGTCATGGCCTGTATGACTTTTCAGACCTCCTATTCACAGATGAAGAGGAACAGATGAAGAGGAAAAGAAGAAGAACAGATGAAGCGGCGCCTACAGAACAGATGAAGAACAGAAAGAAGAATGAAGAACAAATGAAGAATGCTGAAGAGAAGAAAAGATCAACAGATGAAAAGAGGGGCCTCCAAAGATTACTCAAGAAGAAGAACCAAGTCTACAGATGAAAAGCCATGGGTATGTCACAAGGGATTTAGTGAACATTAAAATGAAATCGGACATACGACTTGAACGACATTTAGAAATGAGGCGTACATATAACAGAAACAAGGCAATGTTATGGATTTAACATATTTCTTTAATAAACTAATTAAACAGATAACGTTTCAAACAATGTGTTGTCATCAGAATAAAAAACCTAACAAAACATATTACAACTAAGAATAATAAAGAGATTAACAGTGTAAACGGTAATAAAAGTAATAATGAGAAGTCTAAAAAAAGAGAACATAAGCTTATTATCCAAAGTGAGTTACAATTTAGGAAATAAATGAGTTAAAACAATAGGGAAGACTTAAATGGTTACCATTTATACATGTTATGTTTTATTCCATCATATTTTTATTCTGATGATGGCACATGTAAATTGTGTTGAAACGTTATGTGTTCAATTGGTCTAAGAAGTGTGCTAATTATGGTTATATGATTGCCTGGCCTTTTCCAAAATGAAAATCTTGCATTTAGTTCTTCTATCAACAAGCATATTAGTAATGACATAGTTTTAAAGGAATACTACCTTTTAGAATGAACATTAAATTTAGATTCTCAAATATGGCCTATAAGTGTATGTAATCATCAGTCAGGTGAAAGTTTAGGTCTTGAAAATAGATGCAACCCGGTTTTTCTAACTTGGTGCTTCTTTGTGCGTCGCCCCAAAGTGCATGAAAGTGGAAAGTAGAGTAATAATTACCAATGCATTTATCTGCTGTTTATTCTAAGAGGTAGTATTTCTTAAAAAAAAACAAGTGCGTTAAAATAAGTAGTTGCGTTGACTAGATGAATATTTGAGCTATGGCTTATTTACGTAATACCTTTCTTATTTCAGCAGAAGAGCTCACAAGAAGATGGTGTTTCTGCATTTGGTGTTTCTGCATTGATTAGGTGTTTCTGCATTGATTAGGTGTTTCTGCATTATTAGTTCTGCTCCCAGCGACTGGTTTTTACTGGTGCCTTTAGAATTGACTTTCTCCTTGCGCTAGAATAAGTCATCTTTCCTCAGTATTCTATTCGACTCAGCTGTAAATGGGTATGGATAATCTGAGTAGAATCATTGCCAAGAAATTTTGTCAAGGAACAGCTGTTAGACAGGATCTTGTGAACCTAAGCTGTCCTTGTAAAAAATCTTTCTTTCTATCTATCAGTAGGCTGACTAAAGTTTCTGCAACCGAGTTCTGGGCCTTGTTTCTCAAAAAAATCTCACAATCAATATTTGTCTATGTATGGTATGTTTCAGTGTAAAATTCCACACTTATGACACATTTCTATTGAAAGATTTTTTGAGAAACGGGCCACGTATTTCTGCTTTCATTCGGTGTTTCTGCACCTTTTACTAGATACCAGTCAATCATACCAAAATTAACTTTCCACTACCATTCAACAAGAATTGCCGTGATACAAAGACCATCAGCAATTATTTGGAAGTTTGCTTAATGGCTTTCATTTCTTCTTTTTTTCTGTTTGGATTTCAGCTTTATTGTTTGTATTTCTGTTTTTTGATTTGGGGTAGTTTGCTATGTACAGCTTTGGAAGTTCAGGTCAAAGTTGGCAGTTAAGGTCAAAGTGAGTGTATGAGGTCTAATGTCAAAGATGGTGGTTGGGGTCAAAGGTCAATGATAGTTGTTGAGGTCAAAGGTCAAAGATGGTGGTTGAGGTCAAGGGTCAAAGTTGATATTTGAGCTTAAGGGTCAAAGTAGATATTTGAGTTCAAGGGTCAAAGTTAGTGTTCGAGTTCAGGGGTCAAAGTTTTCTTTTCAGGATATGGTGGTATGGATGAAGGGAGGTTTTTCAGATGAGAAGAAGCATGCATGCAGATACAGAAACCACAGGTATGGTCATCTAAATATTTTCATTACCAGCCGATTGAAATGAAAAGGTGTCATACTTGCAATTGTGTTCAGTGAGGGAAATTATGCAGGATATAAGGATTTCAATTTCCACCAGTCAAGGATGTGAACATCCTTTAGCACACAGAGCCTTAGTTTATTGTCTCTAGACCCTTTTTCATTCCGATACCTCTGACTTGACATCATTGACAGGGGTTGAGAACTTCAAAGGTATTGCCTCAACCTTTTCTGAAAGTGAAGGAAGCAATCATCAAACTCACTGAGCCACAGCTGCTTCCTGCTAGCTGATAAAGCCAAGCCATGGCACTTTTTCAATATTTTTAAGGTAATTTTTTTATGTTTTTTTTTTCTTTTTCAGATAATGGTGGAAAGAGTAATGGTTACCATTTTTTGCTTTTTTTCCTTTTTTTTTTCGTTTTGGCTTGGATTTCTGTCATATTTGTTTGGCTTTCTGCTTAAGTTTGTTCGGTAAAACACCTTAGACAATGTTAACCCGTCCTGGTTATCAAAATCTATTGAGCTGCGCCTACATGATATATATATATTAACAAAACTGTCACGCTGAAGTAAACAACAACAGAGCTTGTACAAATTATCGAATTTTTAAAGAAGATTTCCACTTTGAAAAATACCTAAAAAATTTTAATATTAAAGATAGCATAAACTTGTGCAAATTTAGGTGTGGTATTAATCGTCTTCCTACTTGAATAAATCGCTTCCCAGAAAATATAGATGACGAAACTTGGTGTGAGTCTTTGTAATCACCAAAGGATGAATACTATTGAAAATCAGACGAATCTAAAAATATTTACAATGAGTTATTGCCCTTGTTCTTAAATTGGAAGCTGTAAATAAAACCCATATAATATGAAAATTTCACTCTCAGAAACATTCATTTACTGATAACTCTTGTCAACCTCACAGACAAATTAGCTGCAATTACAAATGTGGGTGTATTACAATGGCATCGCTATTTTTTTGGATCATGAACTGGTAGATTTAGAAGTTTAGTTAGTTTCAATTTCAACTGGGGAAGAAGTAATGATGTTTTTCTATTTCAGAAATTGATATTTTTATAGTCATGAAATAAAAAATTCTCTGTTTGCTAGTGGATATGTGAGATTTGCATGTAGGAATTCTTTCTTGAGCTTAGTCTAGAGGTTTAGTATTATTTTTTCTTTTTAGCCTTTTTTCTATATGTTTTATGATTTCCTAAATCAGATATGGGTATTTATTGTGTCAGGGGATGTTCGGATGGGACAAAATACCTATGCCACATGTGATACAGTCTGAGCATTCAACAGTGTAAAATCAAAAAAACAGAAAAATGAAGATGTCAGAATGTTTATGATTTAATTTGTAAAATTATTTTAGAAATTTTGTATACTGACCCTTTAATATATATATGGTATTTATATATATATGGTAATATATATATTATTAGATTACTTTTTGGTTTATTGAGATAAGAAGATGTATGGTTTCAGATGATGGTGTTGGAATATGGTGTTGGTGTAAGGTTTCAGATAATGATATTAGAGTATGGTGTCAGATAATGGTGTTGGTGTATGGGTTTAGATTATGGTGTTGGAGTATGATTTCAGATAATGTTGTTTTTATGGTCTAAAAAGGTGAAGAAGATTAGTTTGAATCTTAAAGTATCTGGAAATTTTTTTAAATAACTAAATTTTACAGAACGGTAGCCTAATGTAGATTGGAATCTTTAGAGGCAATGATTAGGTTTCGATTGACGGACCTGAAATTAATTTCATTTCGCACAGTCACTTTTTTGAGTTTGAAATTTGACATCTAATATGTAAAAATGGCTTTAGAAGTACTAGAACTGTACAAAATTTGCAAACAAGAAAATTCAAAGTGCACATGTTAATCTATGGAAATCTTATTCTCTGTTTTTTTTATTGCAGTTAAGGGTGATATAGATAACAGTTTAAGGGTAGGCAGGGAGTAATCCTGCAGGGAGCTCATCGTCCCTGTCCTGCCGAGATGGATTGATTGATGTGGAGGGCAAGAAATTTGGAACAATCTCCCAGGCAATATAAAACAGAAGTAAGTTACTCTTAAAAGGAAGAAATAAAGAAACAGCAATTTTTAAAAGGAAAACAAATGGATCAGCAGGTCCTTGGAAAAACTTGACCGATATCTACTTGACTGTACCAAACAAATGACGTCAGTGATTCTGATGCTCTAAACAGTTTTGCTATAGCCTGTCCTTCAACCTATTTGCGTTTGCAGCAATGGGGTCATAAATAAAACCTTTGCAATGATTACTTGTACAGTTTATGTATACAACCTAGTAATTAGATTTAGCTCTTAGCATTCAAAGCAAGACAAGATAGTTACTTTTATTTTGTTTTCTCTTTGTCAATAGTTTAATTCTTTTCATGGGCAATAAACTTAGGTCCTGTTTGCTACAGGTTGTACACCTTAAGGATCAATCAAGAGCTGGATTTGAAAGTATGTAGCATGCAATCCTGGAAAAACAAGCTGGCTATTTAACATTTAGGATGAGTAGTAAGATTTTGTTGTGTTTTTCAGATATAGGTTGATATGAATGATGGTTTTTACTGAGAACATATATCTGGTTGTCGAGATAGCTTCGTCCAGGTCAACTAGCTGCTGTTTGAATTTAGGTATTGTATTAGTTAAATAGTTTTCTTTATTGTTTCGTAACATAGATCTTACAATCGTTTATCGAGACTATTACATCTGATATTTTAGTGTTAGATGGTGATGAGAACATAGTCTCATGAAAGCACTGGCCTAGGTCACAAATTTTAGTCTAAAAGTCGGTTTACCGAGCATGTTTTAAGAATGAAGGCATATACATGTAATGGGTTAATTATGTTATGTTTCAATTGGAGAAACACATTCAAACTTTGCATAAAAATGTATCCAATTATTATTGTTCAATAAATCTGTGTAGAGCTTGAAATAAAGATTTATATTTTTCAGTCAATCTTACACTGAGTGTTATGGCTGAAGTTATAGAAACAATAGGTATAAAGATAGATGATATAGAGAAGGAGAATGAATGAATGAAAGGAGAGATTGCTCAAGATATTGGATTGTATTGATAACGCGTC